CCGCTTGTATTCTTCCTGAAAAATGACTATTGGTGGGTGAATATTGTTTATTTTATTTTTACTGCCCGTTATCCAGCCACAGCACGGACTAGGCATAAAACATTTTCTTTTATTTATTCTGTGAATAGTACCAGATGCTGCTTAAATTCGAAAATATTACCAGTAATGTGTGTAAAGTCACAGTAATCAATGAAGTGTGTTTGTTCGCTGATTGTTGAGAAGAATTGTTGTTTACTTCAGCTTCCAAGGTAGTAGTGAATCATGTTGATTTAACTCGACAATCAGCTGAAATTTTTGTGTATATCAAGATTGTTTGATTGCTTCGGAAAATTAGGACAAAGGAATCCACAGATTTTTATCTAACGCTTAATATATGTTATACACTGTGTCCCATAATTATCTTTACAACTTTAACACTTAATAACCAAATAATGAGATGAGATATCACAATGCGTTTTTTTTGACGTAAATACGTATGTCTATACGAAAGGGTCATTCGGCAAAAACAGCGTTAGTTACGAAGATGTGTAAGATCCAGCGCCGAGTCACCTTTAAATGTTCATTTCTCGGGAATGGTAAACGTAAGGGTAATGTAACCAATATGTAAAATGATCAGTAAATAAGGACCTTTAAGAATCTGTTATGTATTTTATTGTATTTATAATTGTTTGTACATTTATTGAAATTTTAATTAACCAATGTGTACAATTTTCTAAGCATCTGGCGTGTTAAGCTCCCGCCTCTCGAAAACCGTAAGAGGTGGATCCGGACATATTGCGTACGAAATACGTATTACCTCTTGAGCTTTCCATATCTGTTTTCAGATTTTACATATCACAAATGGTTTAGGTTCTACAAACATTTATTTATACAAATAAAGGCGCATCGCACTTCACGCTAAGCTGCGTTTGCGTATTTACGTCAGATTCTCCGGAACCGTGGCCCACTGTCAATTTTTGCATATGAAAGAGTAACTCTCGAAGGTGACGCCACAATTATTGAAAATGGCTACTCCACAGGAAATGACGCAATGTGTTTCCTGGTTCATAGAGACCAGATAAGATACACGGGTCCAACGAAATTTCCGGACTACGTATGGAAGAGAACCACCACCAAGACCCACAATTCGTGACCGGCACCGGAAGTTTGTGGAAACCGGCTTGTCCTGCATCAAAAGGGCGCTGGCCGGCCAAGCACAAGTACAAAGGATACTGAACGTGTTCGTCAGACGTTCGTTCGTAGTCCTAGCAAGTCCATTCGTACCGCCGCCAGGCAATTAAATTTACCACGTTCGACGATACACAGGGTGCTGCACAAGCGTTAAGGATATTGTATACCGAACAGAGGTTCGCAATTTGGAAGACCTTGACGAAGGATTACTGCAGCCATCGCAACAATTGATGCAGGGATGCTAGAGCGAACATGGCAAGAAATCGAATTTCGTCTTGACGTGCTACGTGCAACTAATGGTGCGCACGTAGAGGCGTATTGACCTTTATCTTACTAGCGTTCCCAGCCTGGGAACGTAAGTTGTGTCCCGGAGGGAACCTCAAAACTTGCAACATTGTAAGAAGATTTGGCTACGTCTTTTGGTGTCTTTTAGGGGCTGCAAAAATTGAATCACTTTCACAAGGGTTTTTACAAGGTCAGCCTGAGCTGTCAACCTTGAAACTATAACCATAAACAGCAATAAACATTGTTATTGTCAAGTGGGTTTTGGGCTTCGTTTTCAGACCCCCTATTCAAAGCTACTCACATTCCTCGGCATGATCTGTGAAAAGAATGTGTATCCACTGAAGTAGGGAAACAAATTTTTCTGTGTGGTCATTAGTTCACAACCATGGCTTCTACCACGTCGAAAAAGTTCCCAAAGAAAAGGTAAAGATACTAAGGCCTATTTAGGCAATAAGATATTAACTGCATTTTTAAAAAACTCTATGTATTCTCTGTTCTATTCGAGTAAATATGACTTTTATTTCGTCAATTTATCATGTTTACTTTAGATAATATTAAAGTTTTCCGTAGAGCGTGCACAAAAGTTTAAAAACCTGCAAAGAAACTCCGTAGGGCTGCTACCACTTTGCCATTTAAATCCCCGTCGTTTAAAGGTTAAAGTAAGAAGAAAGACTTTGAGGGTTACTCTTTCATATGCAAAAACCCGCATTGTGATATCTCATCTCATTATTTGGTTATTAAGCGTTAAATTTGTAAAGATAATTATGGGACTGCATTCTGCTTAAGTTCTTCCCTTATGCTTTTCTGCAGTCAGTGTTACTTAAGGAACATTTATTTGGATAGGAGACAATCGAATTGCAGATAAGTTTTCTAAAAGACTACACTTTCTACCAGCATGTTCCGTAGCTTTCCTAAGTGCCTCCAGGATGTGTAGGTAACACCTTCAAATGGGACTCATCTTTCTTCCGTATTCTTCCCGGTTCATAACACGCCCAACCATCTTATCGTGTCGGTTTTGGTACCTCTCCCCCATTAATAATATAAATGTTTTATTTTTACAGGATTGTTTACAAGCGGCTTCAGAACGCGACAATTGAAACAAACTGAGTTGAGGTAAATCCTTCGAGCCGTTGATTAACAGCAAGCCAAAGCAGGAATACAGACTCAAAGGAACATCTTTACTCGGTGTTTGCGGTACGCCGTATGTTTCGCCCTGGAGAACCAAGGGTGGAAAAACAGATTTCAGAGGATGCTACACAAGAAATACATTCGTCCATCAAGTTCTGGTACCGAGGAAAGTGAATCAGGACGCTGAGTTATTGTCCTGCTGGCTCCCACACTTCTGCGAATGCGGTACGAGCAGGCGCAGAAAGCGGGATCTCCCGGATGATTCCGATAAAGTGCATTACAAGGCCCTGCATTAAATGGTAGAACTCTGGCCTAACCATGACTTCATATCGCCAGGAGTGGTGACAGAATACGGGGTCCTGGAGCCAGTCTCGACATGAATAAAATAAAGAAAAGACGAGGGCATGTGTGGTTTTATTAAGACTAACTACGGCCATTGCTTTATCGAACTCATTGAAGGTTACCACGAAGGAGGGTGGCCTGCACCTACGCGTAGTGCTTTGGATTTCAGCAAACAAAGACAAAACCTGCGGCACTGGCAGCTGGGAAGAACGCTTGAGGTTGGAGCACAGACGGCTTCGGGTCGCGAAGCCGACCACTTGAATTCACGATTGAATATTGAGAATTTGGAACTGGTTCTATTCAGGTTTAGATATATGAGGTTAATACTTGTAATCATTAGGTTAGGAACCTTGTATTTTTGTGTGTCATTCACTATCTCGATGTCTTAGTTGATTTTGTTATAATATGTCTTTATATTAACGAAGTTAGGGCTTCTGAATTAACACGGCAACCCCCTCGTCTCCACCCACCTCCAACATCACCACCTCCCAGGTGTGTATGCAACAATTGGTGGCAGCGTCGTGATAATACACGTCCTTTTAAAATGTTGAAGGGTTGTGTTTGACGAACCCGAACTCCGAAATCAGTAAACATACCTGAGGGGGTGATTCATGGAGGTGTCCGAGAATTAGAGAGTGAATGTGGGTAACTGTTCAAAAATGTGCGATTAATGTCATGTCGTAGACCTCCTCTGTTAACGCATAAATGTACAGTTTTGTTAGTGCACGTGGTTGGAGCAACGAGTAGTGAAGCCCTGAAAGGATCAAACGTATTTCCTCTAACAGTTGTTTAAAACTTCTTTCAGGAAATACACTAAAATTAACCCACAACTCGTGAACGAATTCTCACACAATTTTCAGCACTTAAAAATAGATTCGCGGTTAGAAAACCTTTTTATCTTAACGAGGGCATGAACAGTCGAGGACGCGGCGGCAAAGTTGCGACACCACGAACTCTTAGCAGGTGTACGTACTATCATTCAACTTGGCATCATCGTGGCCAATGCCCTAACCTAACAAGAAATCCCCTAATTCAGAAGAGAAAGGGACCCACCTAACACTAAGGCTGCTTTCACCCGTGAGCCGGTATGCGGTCGGCTCACATGACCCTCCACTAGGGTTACCAACTTCATTCAGTCCCTCTAACAACATTTTCAGTGTTTTAGCAGCATTCATCAAATCATGTTGGAACTTGAAGAAGTAATAGTAATATTTTATAGCATAAATATTATAAATGTTTAATAAATAGTACCTATTATTAACTTCTTACTGGAGGTTTTTCCCACAATGTGACTCTCCCGTATAAATGCTTTGGCTAGACTGCCTTGATCTGCAGTTCACTGAGAGTGAAAGGGTTCCATGTTAAAGCAGGCAAAACTCTCCCCTCCAGTAGCCGCTACTAGCGGGGAGAGCTGCATAGTGGCTCATGAGCCACGTGTGAAGGGGCCCTTAAAGCTCAAAGCTGTGTCGCATTTTTCCTTGTGCACAGACTTTCCGCCATTTCTTTAAGCATTTGTTTCTGTTTCATTCTCGGATTTCGGCCGTTAGCTCTTCGATGAAATCAACTCATGATCAGAATCGCAAATTTTAATCGCTGGAAGACTTGCTAATTAGTCACATGTCAGCCATTCCCTCCTGCTTCTATGAACAGTACATTTTTGCAGAAGAAATGGGGCAAAAATTGTCAATTGCTGCAGAAACATTCCAATAACACCTGTTACGCGGTTGTGAAGATGGTAGATCCACTGAACAAACACTCGTGTGAAAGGGTTCCATGTTAAAGCGGGCAAAATTCTCCCCGCCAGTAGCCGCTACTAACGGGGAGAGCTGCATAGTGGCTCACGAGCCGAGCTCACAGATGCACCGGCTCTCGTCTGAAACGGTCCAATGCATTTTGCGGGGATTTCTATCCCCAGCAGTCGCTTCAGCTCACGTGAGCCTATCGGGCGCTTACTGCAGTGACTCATACTCCTGTATATCCCGTTCCGGACATTAAGAACAACTTGTCACTCATTGCAGGAAGAAGGTATTTCACACTCATAGACAGAAAATGCATTTTGGAATATTCCGATCAAAATAGAGGGTCAAGACAAGACAGGATTTAATAAAGTCTTCTCGGGCTATCAGCCGTGTTAGATGTTGATCAATCGCCGACGTTTCGAGGACCATCTCATTTTCAAGGCTGTTGACTGTGTGGCTCGTAGCGCGAACTAGTTTAAATGTCCAAGACTAGTGCGAGTATCCGAGCGGCGTTTGGTGGGGGAGTGTTGTCTTTGTACTGCTGGAACCCTATGTTGCCCGAGAAGACTTTATTAATAAAAGCCGCCGTGAAAGCTTCACATCATATGCAAGACAGGATTTGTGAAACCATTTGGCAGTTTTCCGATACGAGAAAATAGTTGTTGGACTTACAGGAGCACTGAGCACATTTCCGAAAGCAATGGGTAATGTTCTATTAGGACTTAGACATTGAATGCCCAGTTTATCTGTATGATGTTCTAACATACAGTCCGACCATACAAGACTTCGATTACTGTTTGAACGCATTAGGGATGCCAATTTTAAATTAAATTTGAATAAATGCACGTTTCCGACTCCACCAGTTGCTTACCTAGGACGTCGGGTTAGCCGGAATGGAGTTGCGCCGGATGAGAGTAAGGTTGCAACGACGCCACAAACTCAAGGATGTTCGGGGCTTCCTTGGTCTCCCAGGATATCATCGTTCATTCATTCATAATTTTGGGACAATTATCAGGCATTTGACCTTACTTATTGGTAAGGAAATCCAGTTTGATTGGACGGCAAAACAACAGGAAACTTCCGATAAATTAAGAAGAGTACTATCATCAGAATCAGTGCTGGCCCATCCAAATTTTGAACTTCCATTTATATTAAGCTGTGGTGCATCTAATTATGCAATTTCGGCTATTCTCAGTCAAAACCAAAATGATCAGGAACGCCCGTTGAGCTTCGCTAGCAGAAGTCTGAACGAACATGAAATAAATTACAGTTTTACGCATAAAAAATTACTTTCAGTTATATTCGAAATTAAAGTCTACAGATGTTTTCTGTACGGTACTAACTGGTCATGCCGCCTTGAAATGGCTGATAACGGTAAAAAACCATCAGTGCGCTCGATTTATGCAATGGGTGCTCAAATTTTCAGAATATGAATTCGAAATCATTCATAAACCGGGTAAGAAACATATCAATGCGGATGTGCTGAGTCGACACATCGCCTCAGTACAACCAACTCCGGAAGTTACTGTAGATCTTATGCGTGAAACGATATTTAGTGAACAACAAACGGGAGTCTGTTGTCAAGAACAGAGAAATAAGCTGACTACTGACTCCGAATCGAAATTATTCCTAAATAGCAATGGAAATCTTTGTTATAAGGAAACCGGACATAGCACGAATTGTGCCACAAAATTTAATTTCAACAGTCATTGGGCAACATTACGATAAGGTGTACATGGGACACCAAGGCATTAAAATAATTCAAGATACAATAAAATTGAATTACTTTTGGCCCACGTTGAACAAACACGTGGAGGAATATGTAAATAAATATCATTCCTATACTCAGCATAAAGGCTGACGAGTAATACCCGCTCCTTGAGATGAACTTCCAGAAACCTCTCCATTTGAAATTACTTCGATAGATATTTGTGGTGCCTATCCTGTGAATGAGAAAGGAAAGAAATATCTACTTACCTTAATTGACCATTTTACGCGGTTTCCCGAAACCGTACTTACACCCAATCAGGTCGCGGAGACGGTAGCTCACGCATTGCTTGTGAACGTATTCATTCGTCATGGTTGTCCAAGGGTCCCAAGTTCAGATCGACGAACAAATGCTGTCAGAATTATTTCAAGAAATGTTTAAATTATTACAGATTAAGAGGTGTTGTATTTGGAAACCTTCGTGGTCGCTTTCCCCAAATTAGGTAGGTCTTGCATCACGAATAGACTTACATAATGATTAAGCATTACCGTCATGACAAACAGGAAGGAAATTATGATTCCTCGCCGCATCATACGTAATCGAGGCACGAGGATTACTGATGTAACCTTCGATGAAATGATAAATCATTCAACACTTTCACCAGTCAGGGGCCAAGGTTCTAAGTTTCACATTTAATTTACTTTAAATTGGTATAAAAAGAATCGGAAATTAGGCAGTAACCGTCGATACGAGCAGCTGGGAAGCCTCTGCTAACCAAGCATGCCGTGCATCATAGTCGACGTCTGTGAGTATTGTTGGTTTCACTGTCGCTAGCCACTTAGAGTTTACAATTGTCTAAAGAGAATTGAGTACTGGTTCTATTCAGGTTTAGGTAATGTGGTTTCTATTTGTCTTCAATAGGTTTTGAGACTTTATAGTATTGTGCATATCAATCACTGTCTAGATTTGTTTAATTATCTTTGTTGCAATGTATCCACATATTACTGAAGTATGAGTCTTTAAATTAACACGGCAACCCCTTTGTCTCCACCTACTTCCAAAGTCACCGCCTCCCAGGTGTGTTACAACAAATTTGGAGGGTTGTGTTCAAAGAACCTTTACTCCGGAAATCAGTAGACGTACCTGTATGGGTGATTTGTGGAGGTGTTCGAGGGGCAGAGAGACAATGTGGGTGAATCTTTAAAAATATACAAATATGCCGTGTTGTCGTAGACCTTTAACGCTTAATTTTTCGGTCTTGCTAGTACACGTAGTTGGAGCAACAAGTAGTGAAGTACTACAGGGATCGAATGTATTCGCCTTAACAACTGTTAGACTTCTTCAGAAAATACACCAAAATTAACCCGCTACGTGTGAACGAGTTTGCACATAATTTCGAGTATCTAGAAGTCGACTCGCGGTTAAAAATCGCATTCGAAGGCAAACCCAAAGGATTTGCCGCTCTTTCGTATATTCTTCACCAACGAAACGTTATCGGGAACAGTGATTTTCGATGTAGATACGCGAATTATAGAAAGATGTATTGTACCTGGATACGAATACGAGGATCCAGAAATCGAAGGAACAAATTATCTGCCAAATTACGGAGGTGGAAACTGTCAGCAGTCAACCGCGCAATTGATCAGGCTACCTGCTCGCCAGGGACATCACAGGGGTCAGTTGAATCTGTGAACGGTAAAAAGGGAAAATATCGGTTTTCAACTCATACCTAGGATACAAGGTGCCCGTTGTTCGTAAACCAGAGTACGATCCCCCTGTACTTTCGAATTGGGGAAAACCTCAATAACAAGCCTTGATTTGATAGGGTCTTTATTTAGTAGGAGGTACATTTTAGTTTGTGCAATCATTAAGCATTTCCCCTAAGCACAACCTCAGACCTGCCAAATCGATCAGACTGAAACAAAAGAGAAACAAACATTAGTTGATATTACCTTTTCAAAATGATGTCAGTAGCCGGAGAAATTGAAGTCCTGAGGGAGTTAAACTAAAGATGTTTCGCTAGTCGCTGGATTAAAAGAATGGCCAGAGACTTAAAAAGTAGGACGGTTTAAGAATATTGCACTCATAGTCCTTTGCGAAAGTAATCCATTAGACCGATTTGGATATGGAATTGATTGGCAAATCAAAACTGCAGGGGTTAAAACTATAATAGTTAAATGGGAAAGAGGAGTTATTGAAGGACTCATGTCCATACCGGGTAATAAAGAAGGCTCTGATTGATCGGTTTTCTGGCAAGTTACCGGATCAGTATCATACGCAACTGGAGGATGCTGTGCAAGGAAAAAATGAGTCCGCAGGAGGTATTCGGGGACCGATGCAGACAATTATTCATTAAGAAGGTACGGAGGGTGGAGGATGAAGCTAAACGTAGGCTACTGGGTGCCTACCTAAATGAATTAAGGGGCATAGTGGAACAAGCGGATGTTTATTGCCAAGAACAGATAAAGAACATTACAGCAGATTCCGAAACTCGATTCTTCCTTCATAGCAATGAAATTCTTTGTTAACAGGGAACTAGACGTAAAGCAAGGATTGTTGTAACGTAAAGTTTAATATCAACTGTCATCGAACAACAACATGATAAGGTGTACATGGGACATCAGGGCATTACCCGAACTCTAGATATAATTAAATTAAATTACTTTTGGCCCACGTTAAATAAAGACGTGGAGTATTATGTAACGAAGTGTCACTCCTGTGCTCAACACAAAGGTGGACGAATAATTCCCGTTCCATTAGGCGAGCTTCCGGAAACGTTCTCCATTCGAAATTACTTCGATAGATATTTGTAGTCCTTACCCAGTAAGTTAAAAAGGCAAGAGGTATTTTCTTACCTTCTTTGACCATTTCACACGGTTTCCTGAAGCCGTGCCAATACCCAAGCAAGACGCGGAGACAGTAGCTCGCGCATTGCTCGTAATCGTATTCAGTCGACGTGGATGTCCGAGGATCCATAGTTCAGATGGAGGAACAAATTTCCTGTCAGAATTATTTCAGGAAATGTGTAAATTATTACAAATTCAGAGAATTACTTCTACTGCATTTACCCCGAAGATGCAAGGGATAATTGAAAAGTTTCATCTTGGACTCAATCAATCCATCAGTCATTATATAAATGAGTACGGAAATAACTGGGACGAATTTGTAAATACGCATTAATGGCGAATAGGGGTGTGCCTCATTCAACTACTAAGTATAGCCCTTATTACCTTCTCTATGGGACTAGATGACTTAACTGTCCTATCTTCCAGGGCTCATACCGAAGACATTCCTGGAAACGAATATCAGATTACAGAACACTTAAATACACTTTTAACAGGCTCCAAGAAATACACTAAATTGTAATGAAAAATAATCAACATGGAAAGAATAAACAAAAGGAATATTACGACAAAGGTACGAAGCTCCGATACTTTGAACTAGGGGTTTCTGTCTACCTTAAAGAAGTAACTATTGGAAAACAAAAGCTCTAAATTTCGTTTACGATGGAAGGGTCCCTTTTTAGTAATAAAACGTTCATCTGATCTAATATTTCCAATTAGAGTAAAGCCGAATAAAGAGGTCATGGTTAATGTGAATCGACTGAACTGTAGATCAGTTACTGCAGGTAGAAATCTCCTGCGACCACCAACGCGACCCTCTGAGAACACAACATTTCAGCGAAACGAAAATGATTCAGTAGATTCTGTGGACGTAAGTTCGGAATTAACTCCCTACGTACCTTTTCGAATCTTACTTCCACAATCTACCATGACTGACATAGAAACAACTGATTATAATCAAAATATCGAAACAGAAATATGTGAGAGTGAAAGATCTGAAAATGCTATAGAGCAGTGGTATTCAACCTTTCTTGTTCGCGTAAACCCCAGATATAATTTCTCTTCAACTTTGTACCCCCAAAGTTGTTGGTGTATAATTCAAGTTACACATAGTATATAATCTATTCAGTGTTTCTCATTAAATAATATATTTTTTTTTAAATGTCACGTACCCCCTAAGATGCTATAGAGCATAACCGAGATCCGTCTTGGTTACCAAGCCGGTACCATAAACAAATCTTATGGCGTACGAGCAATAAAACAAACGAGACAAGACCTAGCACAGGTATCAACCTGCAGTCTCGTAATAAGCAAGTAGAGAGCCAAATCCCCCAGATACGCGATAACCCATCGGAAAATGATGAAGCTAATCAAAGTCATGAAGAAGTACCAAATTCCGAATCGGTTATAAATGAGTTACCCCAGAATCTGATTGATACTACATGTCAAGATTTTAATGGAGACTATCAGAGTAGACCTCAGCGTTATAATTTAAGACCCTTACCAGGCAGATGTCCTATGGATGAAAATTAAAACTCAAAATTTTCCAATTTTCAGGCACTCTGTCTGGCGAATGGAACCCCAATTGAATAGAGGAGTCATATTCTTGCATGAGCAAGAATTACTTGTCGCGGGGAACCACTGGAATGTGATCGTCAACATTTATGTAAAATGATTTAGGGACACCCTGGCCATTATAAAATTAATATGGCGACAACTTGAAATTTACGCCGAGAGACCCCAAGTTGCAAGCCTGATAAGTTGGGAGGAACTCGAGAGTTAATCGTTTTACAGCCGAATTCGGTAAGGAAATCAGTAACTCACAAAAACTGTTACCGTATAAATTAAGTAGAACCACGCGACAGCGCAGAGGACTAATCGACTTGGGAGGTCAAATATTACAATTTTTGTTTTGAACTGCAACTTGCTCAGAAATACAACACTTTCAAACTATAGTTGCGCAGTATGAAAACAGAAACGATGAAATTTATGCAATCCAAGCACAGTTAACCTGGATTCGAACCGTGGACAAGGAAACTCGTCAAAATACCGTTGATCTAGCACGAGTATTAAAACAACTTACCTACGAAGTAGACATCGCTAATGTCTAAGCTGAAAACAGCCTAGCTATTCAGAAGTTTATCTCACAATCCATGAGAATGTTAGAATTTATCGCCTTGAGATTACAACAGGCGTTCATCAAATTACAGGAATAAATTTATCTTACCTCTTTAGGGAGATTATCATCAGTCCTTGTACCACCGGTTAACTTATCAAATGTTCTGGGACAAATTGCATTAAAATTACCTCGCGATGTTTCTCTTATCACCAACACTGACGTTGATAACATGTACATATATTATGATATTGCTAATGGCAGGCTTATGCCACAGAAGGATCTGCTCGATTAGTAGTTCGCATACCACTAAGGGGCGCCGATCGCGGCATGTCATTGTATTAGGTAGTACCGTTACCCACCTTCTCTCCACTGCTAAGGAGACCTGTACAAGTAGAACCAGAAGTACAGTAATTTCCAGTGACAAAGAACAGGCAATACTGCGCGTTGTTGAAGAAGGCAGATCTTAAAAAATGTAAACACGGGCTATTAACTATCTGTGAAGCCACCTTTCCGCCTATACACAAGCGACTTGCTTCATGCACATCAGTTTTATATTTCGGACGAGTTGAAGTCGCTCACGACTTCTGTCGAAAATTTATTTTACGATAAAATTTTAAGCCAGTTTAGATCTATGCCAAAAGTGAAAAATGCCTTTTGGGTATACAATTTGCCTATTTCGACCCGCGTAACGAAAACATGTAAATTTATTGGAACGACACTCAGCAAAGATATGTTATTAACTGGAGCAGGAATCCTCTAGGAAGATATCAGTTGCCAATATTTTTCATAAATCTTTATATTGCTACCAGTTACAGATAGCTACTAGAATTTTACCTTAACTACTGGACATGTTATCGCACCAGACTTACCACAGCTGATCACTGGCAAGGAAAGTCAATAGTTGGAAGAATACAGCAAGAAAGCAAACTCCACACTTGCTGCCCTCGAGACTGTGATGCGACGGGACACGTCTACGCATCAACAAAGTTACATCGAATTAAGCCAACTACTGCAAACATTAGAGCAGAAGATAACCACTCAACACACCACACATTGGCTCACATTTGGCATCTGTTTTACATTTACACTAAACATTTTATTCCTTACCTTAAAGTATTGCAGACGACATCGTAAAACGACTTGCTCCAGGATGTTCGCATGGCGAAATGGTAACCTCTTCGACGGAAGCAGGCCGCCCTCCCAACAATCTTGGAGGAAGCCGGCCCGATAGCCGAAGATCTACTTCCGCTTCAAGTCGAAACATGTTCCAACCTAACATCACGTCAAGTAAGCCCAGCACGTGTAACAACGGCTTAAATCACCGAACTAAGAAGTAAGCAGACGAATTTACAGTCTGGTACCAAAAGCAACGAACCAAGGATCTCACGACCAGGACTGGTCCAACTTCCTTCGTCCAGATAACGACAAGACATTATACGTACTGTTATAAGAAATGTTATTCCAAAAGATTAACCACCCGGATATCTAATGTATACACTAAAAATGTTCCAATAATTATTCACAGCGTGAATTTACTAACACTTAGAATAACGTATTATAACATTAATTATATGTAACATAGAACCAGAATAAGCGTGACAGAAAACAATCTCACAACTCAGCTAAAAACCGTCTCAAAAAGATAACTGACCAAGACGACCTCATTAAACTCCAGCTCAATCGAGCTGTGACTTTCAATTTAGGTTGGGGTAGTTGTTGTATTTGGACACTTTCGTGGTCTCATTCCCTAAATTACGAGAGCATGGTAACTTTCGCAATATGAGCATACTTACGTAATAAGTGACACTGCTATGACACGCGGGAAGGAAGCTGTGGTCTTGATACCTCGCCGCTAGCGATGATTCAAGGTTTGCAAGCGTAACCTAAGCATTGTCACACTTTATGCTAAATCGAAGATTATTGGAGGATTATTGATGTAACCTCCGGTGAAGGGATAAGTCACCCAATTGTTTCGCCAATCGGAGACCAAGGTTCTAGATATCACTCTTCCGCCCCCAGACATTTTAACTGCTTTGAATTAGTATCAAAAGAGGCAGAAATTAAGAAGTAGTCGTCGAGACGAGCAGCTGGGAAGCCTTCACTAACCAAGCATGCTGTGCATTATAGTCGGCGTTTGTGAATATTGTCTGTTTTACTGTCACTGATTCACTAAGTAACGAAGTCATTGAGTAACTTCAGAATAATTGTAACAAATTTGAACTAGGTAGTGGTTCTGTTTAGAAGTAGGTTGTGAGGTTTATATTTGTATTCATTGATTGTAGAGGCATTATAATATTGTGCATAACTATTTCTGTATAGATTTACTTACATAATTCTTGTTATAATATATCCATATATTACTGAGGATATAGTTTTAATTAACACGACAACCCGTCGTCTCCACCCACCTCCAATATCACCGTCTCCCAGGTGTGCTTACAACAGGATATTCTTATGCCAAAAGTAAAAAATGCCTTTTGGGCATATAGCTTGCCTGCTACAATACGCGTCACGAAGACATGTCAAATTAATGGAACGAGTCAGTAAAGATCTCTTGTTAACTGGAGCAGGGATCCTCCAGGAGGATATCGATCGCCAATATTTTTCGGAAACATTCATATTGCTACCAGTTACAGACAGTTATTTGAACAGCAAGCACGCAAACTCCTCGCATGCTGCCCTCGAGACCGTGATGCGACGGGACACGTCTGCACATCAACAAAAGTACATCGAGTTAAGCCAACTATTGAAAACGTTAGAGCAGAAAAGAACGATTCAACGAACCACACACTGGCTCACGTTTGGCATTTGTTTTACTTTTACACGAATCACTTTATTCCTTACCTTAAAGTATTGCAGACGACATCGAAATACGACTTGCTCCAGGACGCAAGCAGCACCGAAACCTCTTCGACGGAAGCAGGCCGCCTCCCAACAATCTCGGAGGAAGCTGACTCGATAACAGAAGATGTAATTCCGCTTCAAGTAGCAACAGGTTCAAATGCAACATCAAACAAGCAGACTCCGCATGTTTAACTACAGCTGAATTTTTCGAACTAAGAAGTGAGCAGACGGAACTACGATCGGGAACCGGAAGCAACGAATCAAGGTTCTCACGACCAGGACTGGTCCAACTTCCTTCGTCCTGATAATGAAATCAAGACGTCATACTGTCCTACAAATCGGGTCACTTCAGAAAGAGTAACAACTTTCGCCTCTACTGTACACGTTGCAATAACTACACTCACAGCACAATCTTACTGACACTTAGAATGGGATACTGGGAACGACCCGTTCTTCAAATGCCTGAGCACTGCGGGTCCCAACTTTTCGTTGGGCTTGATCTATAGACATCCGGTAGGACTCCTTGGACGAGGGATCGGCCCGTCGCAAGGCCTCTACCTGTACACAGGGCAGAACAACACAGAAAAACGCGGACGGACATCCATGGCTTGAGTGGGATTCGAACCCACGGGCCCAGCGACCAAGCGGCACAAGGCCCACGCCTCAGACCGCGCGGCCTCTTTGGACCCCCGCATCACGAATAGACCTACGTAATGGATTACACATAACATCCATGACAAATAGGAAGGACATTATGATTCCTCGCCGCATCATACGTAATCGAGGCACGAGGATTACTGATGTAACCTTCGATGAAATGATAAATCATTCAACACTTTCACCAGTCAGGGGCCAAGGTTCTAAGTTTCACATTTAATTTACTTTAAATTGGTATAAAAAGAATCGGAAATTAGGCAGTAACCGTCGATACGAGCAGCTGGGAAGCCTCTGCTAACCAAGCATGCCGTGCATCATAGTCGACGTCTGTGAGTATTGTTGGTTTCACTGTCGCTAGCCACTTAGAGTTTACAATTGTCTAAAGAGAATTGAGTACTGGTTCTATTCAGGTTTAGGTAATGTGGTTTCTATTTGTCTTCAATAGGTTTTGAGACTTTATAGTATTGTGCATATCAATCACTGTCTAGATTTGTTTAATTATCTTTGTTGCAATGTATCCACATATTACTGAAGTATGAGTCTTTAAATTAACACGGCAACCCCTTTGTCTCCACCTACTTCCAAAGTCACCGCCTCCCAGGTGTGTTACAACAAATTTGGAGGGTTGTGTTCAAAGAACCTTTACTCCGGAAATCAGTAGACGTACCTGTATGGGTGATTTGTGGAGGTGTTCGAGGGGCAGAGAGACAATGTGGGTGAATCTTTAAAAATATACAAATATGCCGTGTTGTCGTAGACCTTTAACGCTTAATTTTTCGGTCTTGCTAGTACACGTAGTTGGAGCAACAAGTAGTGAAGTACTACAGGGATCGAATGTATTCGCCTTAACAACTGTTAGACTTCTTCAGAAAATACACCAAAATTAACCCGCTACGTGTGAACGAGTTTGCACATAATTTCGAGTATCTAGAAGTCGACTCGCGGTTAAAAATCGCATTCGAAGGCAAACCCAAAGGATTTGCCGCTCTTTCGTATATTCTTCACCAACGAAACGTTATCGGGAACAGTGATTTTCGATGTAGATACGCGAATTATAGAAAGATGTATTGTACCTGGATACGAATACGAGGATCCAGAAATCGAAGGAACAAATTATCTGCCAAATTACGGAGGTGGAAACTGTCAGCAGTCAACCGCGCAATTGATCAGGCTACCTGCTCGCCAGGGACATCACAGGGGTCAGTTGAATCTGTGAACGGTAAAAAGGGAAAATATCGGTTTTCAACTCATACCTAGGATACAAGGTGCCCGTTGTTCGTAAACCAGAGTACGATCCCCCTGTACTTTCGAATTGGGGAAAACCTCAATAACAAGCCTTGATTTGATAGGGTCTTTATTTAGTAGGAGGTACATTTTAGTTTGTGCAATCATTAAGCATTTCCCCTAAGCACAACCTCAGACCTGCCAAATCGATCAGACTGAAACAAAAGAGAAACAAACATTAGTTGATATTACCTTTTCAAAATGATGTCAGTAGCCGGAGAAATTGAAGTCCTGAGGGAGTTAAACTAAAGATGTTTCGCTAGTCGCTGGATTAAAAGAATGGCCAGAGACTTAAAAAGTAGGACGGTTTAAGAATATTGCACTCATAGTCCTTTGCGAAAGTAATCCATTAGACCGATTTGGATATGGAATTGATTGGCAAATCAAAACTGCAGGGGTTAAAACTATAATAGTTAAATGGGAAAGAGGAGTTATTGAAGGACTCATGTCCATACCGGGTAATAAAGAAGGCTCTGATTGATCGGTTTTCTGGCAAGTTACCGGATCAGTATCATACGCAACTGGAGGATGCTGTGCAAGGAAAAAATGAGTCCGCAGGAGGTATTCGGGGACCGATGCAGACAATTATTCATTAAGAAGGTACGGAGGGTGGAGGATGAAGCTAAACGTAGGCTACTGGGTGCCTACCTAAATGAATTAAGGGGCATAGTGGAACAAGCGGATGTTTATTGCCAAGAACAGATAAAGAACATTACAGCAGATTCCGAAACTCGATTCTTCCTTCATAGCAATGAAATTCTTTGTTAACAGGGAACTAGACGTAAAGCAAGGATTGTTGTAACGTAAAGTTTAATATCAACTGTCATCGAACAACAACATGATAAGGTGTACATGGGACATCAGGGCATTACCCGAACTCTAGATATAATTAAATTAAATTACTTTTGGCCCACGTTAAATAAAGACGTGGAGTATTATGTAACGAAGTGTCACTCCTGTGCTCAACACAAAGGTGGACGAATAATTCCCGTTCCATTAGGCGAGCTTCCGGAAACGTTCTCCATTCGAAATTACTTCGATAGATATTTGTAGTCCTTACCCAGTAAGTTAAAAAGGCAAGAGGTATTTTCTTACCTTCTTTGACCATTTCACACGGTTTCCTGAAGCCGTGCCAATACCCAAGCAAGACGCGGAGACAGTAGCTCGCGCATTGCTCGTAATCGTATTCAGTCGACGTGGATGTCCGAGGATCCATAGTTCAGATGGAGGAACAAATTTCCTGTCAGAATTATTTCAGGAAATGTGTAAATTATTACAAATTCAGAGAATTACTTCTACTGCATTTACCCCGAAGATGCAAGGGATAATTGAAAAGTTTCATCTTGGACTCAATCAATCCATCAGTCATTATATAAATGAGTACGGAAATAACTGGGACGAATTTGTAAATACGCATTAATGGCGAATAGGGGTGTGCCTCATTCAACTACTAAGTATAGCCCTTATTACCTTCTCTATGGGACTAGATGACTTAACTGTCCTATCTTCCAGGGCTCATACCGAAGACATTCCTGGAAACGAATATCAGATTACAGAACACTTAAATACACTTTTAACAGGCTCCAAGAAATACACTAAATTGTAATGAAAAATAATCAACATGGAAAGAATAAACAAAAGGAATATTACGACAAAGGTACGAAGCTCCGATACTTTGAACTAGGGGTTTCTGTCTACCTTAAAGAAGTAACTATTGGAAAACAAAAGCTCTAAATTTCGTTTACGATGGAAGGGTCCCTTTTTAGTAATAAAACGTTCATCTGATCTAATATTTCCAATTAGAGTAAAGCCGAATAAAGAGGTCATGGTTAATGTGAATCGACTGAACTGTAGATCAGTTACTGCAGGTAGAAATCTCCTGCGACCACCAACGCGACCCTCTGAGAACACAACATTTCAGCGAAACGAAAATGATTCAGTAGATTCTGTGGACGTAAGTTCGGAATTAACTCCCTACGTACCTTTTCGAATCTTACTTCCACAATCTACCATGACTGACATAGAAACAACTGATTATAATCAAAATATCGAAACAGAAATATGTGAGAGTGAAAGATCTGAAAATGCTATAGAGCAGTGGTATTCAACCTTTCTTGTTCGCGTAAACCCCAGATATAATTTCTCTTCAACTTTGTACCCCCAAAGTTGTTGGTGTATAATTCAAGTTACACATAGTATATAATCTATTCAGTGTTTCTCATTAAATAATATATTTTTTTTTAAATGTCACGTACCCCCTAAGATGCTATAGAGCATAACCGAGATCCGTCTTGGTTACCAAGCCGGTACCATAAACAAATCTTATGGCGTACGAGCAATAAAACAAACGAGACAAGACCTAGCACAGGTATCAACCTGCAGTCTCGTAATAAGCAAGTAGAGAGCCAAATCCCCCAGATACGCGATAACCCATCGGAAAATGATGAAGCTAATCAAAGTCATGAAGAAGTACCAAATTCCGAATCGGTTATAAATGAGTTACCCCAGAATCTGATTGATACTACATGTCAAGATTTTAATGGAGACTATCAGAGTAGACCTCAGCGTTATAATTTAAGACCCTTACCAGGCAGATGTCCTATGGATGAAAATTAAAACTCTTTATTTTCCAATTTTCAGGCACTCTGTCTGGCGAATGGAACCCCAATTGAATAGAGGAGTCATATTCTTGCATGAGCAAGAATTACTTGTCGCGGGGAACCACTGGAATGTGATCGTCAACATTTATGTAAAATGATTTAGGGACACCCTGGCCATTATAAAATTAATATGGCGACAACTTGAAATTTACGCCGAGAGACCCCAAGTTGCAAGCCTGATAAGTTGGGAGGAACTCGAGAGTTAATCGTTTTACAGCCGAATTCGGTAAGGAAATCAGTAACTCACAAAAACTGTTACCGTATAAATTAAGTAGAACCACGCGACAGCGCAGAGGACTAATCGACTTGGGAGGTCAAATATTACAATTTTTGTTTTGAACTGCAACTTGCTCAGAAATACAACACTTTCAAACTATAGTTGCGCAGTATGAAAACAGAAACGATGAAATTTATGCAATCCAAGCACAGTTAACCTGGATTCGAACCGTGGACAAGGAAACTCGTCAAAATACCGTTGATCTAGCACGAGTATTAAAACAACTTACCTACGAAGTAGACATCGCTAATGTCTAAGCTGAAAACAGCCTAGCTATTCAGAAGTTTATCTCACAATCCATGAGAATGTTAGAATTTATCGCCTTGAGATTACAACAGGCGTTCATCAAATTACAGGAATAAATTTATCTTACCTCTTTAGGGAGATTATCATCAGTCCTTGTACCACCGGTTAACTTATCAAATGTTCTGGGACAAATTGCATTAAAATTACCTCGCGATGTTTCTCTTATCACCAACACTGACGTTGATAACATGTACATATATTATGATATTGCTAATGGCAGGCTTATGCCACAGAAGGATCTGCTCGATTAGTAGTTCGCATACCACTAAGGGGCGCCGATCGCGGCATGTCATTGTATTAGGTAGTACCGTTACCCACCTTCTCTCCACTGCTAAGGAGACCTGTACAAGTAGAACCAGAAGTACAGTAATTTCCAGTGACAAAGAACAGGCAATACTGCGCGTTGTTGAAGAAGGCAGATCTTAAAAAATGTAAACACGGGCTATTAACTATCTGTGAAGCCACCTTTCCGCCTATACACAAGCGACTTGCTTCATGCACATCAGTTTTATATTTCGGACGAGTTGAAGTCGCTCACGACTTCTGTCGAAAATTTATTTTACGATAAAATTTTAAGCCAGTTTAGATCTATGCCAAAAGTGAAAAATGCCTTTTGGGTATACAATTTGCCTATTTCGACCCGCGTAACGAAAACATGTAAATTTATTGGAACGACACTCAGCAAAGATATGTTATTAACTGGAGCAGGAATCCTCTAGGAAGATATCAGTTGCCAATATTTTTCATAAATCTTTATATTGCTACCAGTTACAGATAGCTACTAGAATTTTACCTTAACTACTGGACATGTTATCGCACCAGACTTACCACAGCTGATCACTGGCAAGGAAAGTCAATAGTTGGAAGAATACAGCAAGAAAGCAAACTCCACACTTGCTGCCCTCGAGACTGTGATGCGACGGGACACGTCTACGCATCAACAAAGTTACATCGAATTAAGCCAACTACTGCAAACATTAGAGCAGAAGATAACCACTCAACACACCACACATTGGCTCACATTTGGCATCTGTTTTACATTTACACTAAACATTTTATTCCTTACCTTAAAGTATTGCAGACGACATCGTAAAACGACTTGCTCCAGGATGTTCGCATGGCGAAATGGTAACCTCTTCGACGGAAGCAGGCCGCCCTCCCAACAATCTTGGAGGAAGCCGGCCCGATAGCCGAAGATCTACTTCCGCTTCAAGTCGAAACATGTTCCAACCTAACATCACGTCAAGTAAGCCCAGCACGTGTAACAACGGCTTAAATCACCGAACTAAGAAGTAAGCAGACGAATTTACAGTCTGGTACCAAAAGCAACGAACCAAGGATCTCACGACCAGGACTGGTCCAACTTCCTTCGTCCAGATAACGACAAGACATTATACGTACTGTTATAAGAAATGTTATTCCAAAAGATTAACCACCCGGATATCTAATGTATACACTAAAAATGTTCCAATAATTATTCACAGCGTGAATTTACTAACACTTAGAATAACGTATTATAACATTAATTATATGTAACATAGAACCAGAATAAGCGTGACAGAAAACAATCTCACAACTCAGCTAAAAACCGTCTCAAAAAGATAACTGACCAAGACGACCTCATTAAACTCCAGCTCAATCGAGCTGTGACTTTCAATTTAGGTTGGGGTAGTTGTTGTATTTGGACACTTTCGTGGTCTCATTCCCTAAATTACGAGAGCATGGTAACTTTCGCAATATGAGCATACTTACGTAATAAGTGACACTGCTATGACACGCGGGAAGGAAGCTGTGGTCTTGATACCTCGCCGCTAGCGATGATTCAAGGTTTGCAAGCGTAACCTAAGCATTGTCACACTTTATGCTAAATCGAAGATTATTGGAGGATTATTGATGTAACCTCCGGTGAAGGGATAAGTCACCCAATTGTTTCGCCAATCGGAGACCAAGGTTCTAGATATCACTCTTCCGCCCCCAGACATTTTAACTGCTTTGAATTAGTATCAAAAGAGGCAGAAATTAAGAAGTAGTCGTCGAGACGAGCAGCTGGGAAGCCTTCACTAACCAAGCATGCTGTGCATTATAGTCGGCGTTTGTGAATATTGTCTGTTTTACTGTCACTGATTCACTAAGTAACGAAGTCATTGAGTAACTTCAGAATAATTGTAACAAATTTGAACTAGGTAGTGGTTCTGTTTAGAAGTAGGTTGTGAGGTTTATATTTGTATTCATTGATTGTAGAGGCATTATAATATTGTGCATAACTATTTCTGTATAGATTTACTTACATAATTCTTGTTATAATATATCCATATATTACTGAGGATATAGTTTTAATTAACACGACAACCCGTCGTCTCCACCCACCTCCAATATCACCGTCTCCCAGGTGTGCTTACAACAGGATATTCTTATGCCAAAAGTAAAAAATGCCTTTTGGGCATATAGCTTGCCTGCTACAATACGCGTCACGAAGACATGTCAAATTAATGGAACGAGTCAGTAAAGATCTCTTGTTAACTGGAGCAGGGATCCTCCAGGAGGATATCGATCGCCAATATTTTTCGGAAACATTCATATTGCTACCAGTTACAGACAGTTATTTGAACAGCAAGCACGCAAACTCCTCGCATGCTGCCCTCGAGACCGTGATGCGACGGGACACGTCTGCACATCAACAAAAGTACATCGAGTTAAGCCAACTATTGAAAACGTTAGAGCAGAAAAGAACGATTCAACGAACCACACACTGGCTCACGTTTGGCATTTGTTTTACTTTTACACGAATCACTTTATTCCTTACCTTAAAGTATTGCAGACGACATCGAAATACGACTTGCTCCAGGACGCAAGCAGCACCGAAACCTCTTCGACGGAAGCAGGCCGCCTCCCAACAATCTCGGAGGAAGCTGACTCGATAACAGAAGATGTAATTCCGCTTCAAGTAGCAACAGGTTCAAATGCAACATCAAACAAGCAGACTCCGCATGTTTAACTACAGCTGAATTTTTCGAACTAAGAAGTGAGCAGACGGAACTACGATCGGGAACCGGAAGCAACGAATCAAGGTTCTCACGACCAGGACTGGTCCAACTTCCTTCGTCCTGATAATGAAATCAAGACGTCATACTGTCCTACAAATCGGGTCACTTCAGAAAGAGTAACAACTTTCGCCTCTACTGTACACGTTGCAATAACTACACTCACAGCACAATCTTACTGACACTTAGAATGACTAGTGTATTAACTATAGTATTCATGGATGTGAAATAGAACCAGAACAAGCGTGACATAAACCATCCTCGCAGTTAAAGAAATTGACTTAAAACAATCTCAAAAGGAAAACTTAAAACGACCTAATGAAACTCAGCTCAAACGAGCTATGACTTTTAAATAATGTTGGGGCAATTATATTTGGAAACCTTCGTGGTCCCTTTCCCCTAATTACGAGAGGAAGGTAGCTCTCGCATCACGAAAACTGGAGTATACTGGGAACGATCCGTTCTTCAAGTGCCTGAGCACTGCGGGTTCCGACTTTTCGTTGGCTTGATCTATAGACATCCGGTAGGACTCCTTGGACGAGGGATCGGCCCGTCGCAAGGCCTCTACCTGTACACAGGGCAGAACAACACAGAAAAACGCGGACGGACATCCATGGCTTGAGTGGGATTCGAACCCACGGGCCCAGCGACCAAGCGGCACAAGGCCCACGCCTCAGACCGCGCGGCCTCTTTGGACCCCCGCATCACGAATAGACCTACGTAATGGATTACACATAACATCCATGACAAATAGGAAGGACATTATGATTCCTCGCCGCATCATACGTAATCGAGGCACGAGGATTACTGATGTAACCTTCGATGAAATGATAAATCATTCAACACTTTCACCAGTCAGGGGCCAAGGTTCTAAGTTTCACATTTAATTTACTTTAAATTGGTATAAAAAGAATCGGAAATTAGGCAGTAACCGTCGATACGAGCAGCTGGGAAGCCTCTGCTAACCAAGCATGCCGTGCATCATAGTCGACGTCTGTGAGTATTGTTGGTTTCACTGTCGCTAGCCACTTAGAGTTTACAATTGTCTAAAGAGAATTGAGTACTGGTTCTATTCAGGTTTAGGTAATGTGGTTTCTATTTGTCTTCAATAGGTTTTGAGACTTTATAGTATTGTGCATATCAATCACTGTCTAGATTTGTTTAATTATCTTTGTTGCAATGTATCCACATATTACTGAAGTATGAGTCTTTGAATTAACTCGGCAGCCCCCTCGTCTGCACCCACCTCCAACTTCACTGCCTCCTGTTGTGTACACAACAGAGGATTACTTCAGCTGCTTTCAACCACAAAATGCAAGGAAAAATTGAAAAATTTCATCTTAGATTGAGTCAATCAGTCATTACGTAAAAAAATACGGCAATAATTGGAATGAATTTGTGAATTATGCGTTGATGGCGCATAGGGCTGTGCCTCATTCGACCACTAGGTATGGCCTGTATTACCGTCTCTGTGGGAGAGAAATGCGTCTTTTTTCAGTGGACGACTTGACTGCACCATCTTCCATTTCTGTACCTGAAGACTTTCCTGGAAACAATAATCAAATCACGGAACATTTAAATACTCTTCGTGATAGATTTCAAGAAGCCTGTCAGATTGTAATTAAAATCAACGAGCATGCTATGTGAATAAAAAGAATACTATGATAAAGATACAAAATCTTCGGCAATTTCATGTAGGAGACTGTCTATATCAAGGAAGTAGCCATTGGAAAACATAAACGTTCTAATTCACATTCATCGCCCTGGCGACGGAGGCAGTATGACCTCTGAAACGTTGGTAAACATCGACCAGACTACACAGCGCAACAACCCAGAAGACATAAATCTTCATACTCACCGCTGTGAAAATCTCAAATCTTACATAAACTTCCTAAATTCCGTTTACGTTGGAAAGGCCCTTTCTTATAAACAAAACGCCTATCTGCTCTGACATTTTTTTTCAAGCCTAATAAGGAATTCGTGGTCAATGTGAACCGACTGAAACTCTGTAGATCGGTTATTTCAGCTAAGAGCCTCCTGCGACCCCAGTTACGGGCCTCTTAGGATGCGCTATCTCAGAACGACGAAAATAATCCATTGTATTTAGCAGTTGAAGACTCAGAGATAATTCTTCACGTCCCTCGAAATAATCGAATCTTACTTCCACTACCTGCCAGGATGGACATTGAACCAGCAGATGAAAATGAAAATATCGAAACAGGAACTTGTTGAGAATACACAAGATCCATCTTGGTCACCAACTCTAAGGCATCCAACCAATGAAGTAATTGAGGCAGGGACTACCACCGTAGGCATATATAATTTGAGATCTCATAACAAAGAGATAGCGAGCCGAGCCCCACAGTCATATAATCATCCGATACTGAGAATGAAGACACGTGTAATCTTAGGGAAGAACAACGAACTTCCGAAACAGGGATAAATGAACTGCCCGAGGATAGTAATGAAAGTAATTTCCAGGATGGTAACGAAAATAATCAAGATGGACCTGAACCTTACAATTTAAATACCTTTGCCCGGTAGAAGTTTTACCAAGGGGAATTAAGACTCAAAATTTCTCTACTTTTCAGGCACCCTGTCCTTGGCGTTTGGGACTCCCCAGTTGAATATAGGAGTCATATTCTTGCATGAAGAAGAATTACTAGTCACTGGAATGTAATCGTTAGTACTGACGTCAAATGGTTCAGGGATTCGTTAACCATGATAAAATTGGTATGGCGTTGCAGGGGTCCGCAGTGGCCGCGCGGTCTGAGGCGTGGGCCTTGTGACGCTTGGTCGCTGGGACCGTGGGTTCGAATCCCACTCAAGCCATGGATGTTTGTCCGCGTTTCTCTGTGTTGTGTTGTCCCGTGTACAGGTAGAGGCCTTGCGACGGGCCGATCCCTCATCCAAGGAGTCCTACCGAATACCTATAGATCAAGCCAACTAAAAGTTGGGACCCGTACTGCTCAGGCACTTGAAGAACTGGTCGTTCCCAGTATCCAGTATGCCGAAAGACCACAAGGCGCACACCTGATAAATTGAAAGAACTGGCTATAGTCAATCGCTTAACATTCGAACTTGATAAGTAAATCAGCAATTTGGAAAAGCTATTACCATATAGACTAGGCAAAACCATGCGGCAACTGTAGGGATTAATTTTGGAGGACAAATACTAAAATTTATATTTGGAACTGCAACTAGCTCCGATCTACAAGATTTGCAATTTGTATTTTCACATTGAGGACATCGTTCAAGGTACAAAGGCACAATTAACATTATTTCGAACAGTAGAAAAGGAAACTCGCCAAAATACCGTTGATTTACTAAATTTATCATTAGTACTAAGACAAATCACTTACGATGTGGTTAACGCTAATCGCACTTTTGTGACCGCTATTGATAAATTAACAAAGGCCGTACTATCTATGAGAGAATTAGAATTCACGGCATTAATATTACAACAAAAACTAATAAAATTTCAGGAAGGGATCGTTGTTACTTCATCGGGAAGACATTCCTCAGTCCTTGTACCACCGACTAACCTGTCAATCTTACTGGAGCTAAGACGTCTCTCTTATTACGAATACAGATGTTGACAATATTTGCGTATACTATGATGTTGCCCGAGTGCAAGCCTATGCTACAGGAAGATCTATTCAATTGGTAGTTCGCGTACATCTGAAAGATTCTGATCACAACATGTCTTTATGTAGAGTGGAACCTCTACCCACCTTCTATCAGCTGCTAGGTAGGCCTGTGCAAACAGAACCAGTAGTTCAGTATTTTGCAGTGACTCAAAACCGACAATACTACGCGTTGTTGAAGGAGGCAGGCGTTCGAAGATGTGAACATAGATTACTTACTATATTCGAAGCTACATTTCCGCTTATTTATAAGCAAGTTTCTTCGTGTATATTTCGGACAAGATGAAGTCGTTCATGACTTCTGTAGGAAATTAATTCTACAATTCTTGGACATTGCGCAGGTGCACGCTCTCACAGATTTCTGCGGCCTGCGGGTGAAGATGGAGACGTACAGCTCTCCTAGGGGCCCATGCAGTGCAAGCGCTGTCAAAGCGAAACTGCGGCTACGCACCCATCCGGGTCTTGTGCCACCCCTACGTGAGAGCAAACATTTAAAATTGGACACAAATTTCAAGCCGAAATGCAAGAATACGTGTACTTTCTAAAACCTTTCTAGATATATTCACAGTGTTGAAGATATTTTAGTACAAAGATTCAAACCAGATACACGAAATCTTGAATTTAACAAAACCTTAAATAAATGCATTCCCTATGTATGTATTTAAAGTGTGGAAGCTTACGAGGCTGCGGGGGCAACCACACTTCAAACTACCGAGGCTGAAGTATAAGGAAGGAGACAAAGGCGCCCGCTGCTAAACTTGCGCAAGGGGAGCGTGGTCGAAAGTACGGAGTCTCCACGCGCCTACTAGCGCCCGGATCGGAGCCACCTATGCTTTCTCCTGAGCAGAGGAAAGGGCTCTAGCAAGAACTACATTACATTGTCAGAGGAGGCCGCGTGTTCAATTGTCCCACCCACCCCCACCATTTCCGGCACAGGAAGACGGACCGAGAGACAGGCTGCCCCTACGGACGCCAAGAGTAAGCCCGCTTGTCCCTAAGTGCCGGCGACGGACTCCAAACCACCCCCTTTCAAAGGGTTGACCCTACGCCTCACGAGGTTAGTTCCCCCTCTTTGAAAACCTTCTCACCAAGGCCCGAGTCGAGTTGACACGTTGTCTTTTCTCCGCGGCTTCTGCCCTTCCAACTGGGGAGGCTTGTCGACGAGCTGTCCTCAAAACCGTGATCCTCTTCGTAGCTGAGTGTGACTGCGAGGCGTAGGAGGCACGGGGGAAACGTCTTCTGGAATACCGATAGTGTTCGCGGCAGGAAGACGGAATTGATACAGTTCCTCGGTGAACACGGTGTCGATGTTTGCCTCCTCAACTAGACGCACCTAGCGTCGGGTAGGGGCCTGAGGGTCGCGAACTGTGTTTGCCACCGGGACCGGGGGAAGGCACGGCGATCCTCGTCCGCAGGGACATAGATCATTACCCTGTGCCGGTCTTGGGTCTGCAGCAACTGGAAGCAACAGCCATTCACCTGGTGCTGGCAACCAGGAAAGTGAAGCTCGTGGCGGCATACCTCTCGCCCACGCGGCCCTGGATAGAGTCGGACTTGACCTGTGGGGGATCACACTCTTAGTGGCTGGTGACCTTAACGCGAAGCACGCGGACTGGAATTCTATGCTGATCTCAGCGAGGAGTTCACTCCTGCGGGATTACGCCAACGGAAATTCCTGCTTGATCTACGGGTCGGACTCCTTACAATCGAAACGGAATACCTGACCTCCATGACATTTCGGTCTTCAAGGACTTCGTCCAACCGGTGTATCTGATTAACCCACACATCTTAGATTACCTGCCTGTCCTGATCGGCACCGTTTGCCGGTCATCCCTTCAAAACTCAAGCGACTGCAAATGAACTGGATTGAATTCTAGGCTTGCCTTGAAAGGAGGCTCCCAAGAAAACATATGCTAAACGACTAGTCGGCAATCGACAAGTGCGTCGAGGAGCTGACCAGCGCCATCCACGAGGCCACAGCGGCATCTCCTCCCAAGTGTCGATCACGCGTGGACCTGCGGCCTCCTTTACCCGCTAGTATTCAGGATGAAATACGCCTGAAGAGCCGGCTGACAAGGTAGTGGCTAGTTACGAGGGCCCCCGCTCTGAAAGCTCGGGTTAACCGCCCTCTGATGAAGGTGACCTGTTAGCTGAACGAGTGGAGGAAAGAACAGAGGAGCGATACGCTGGAATCCTTGGTCAACGAAGGGCAGTCGCTATGGAATATGAAAAAGGGAGTAGTGCAAGTTCCCACTCTGTCGCTCCCTTGTAAGTTCCGGGAAGACTACTCCCTTTGGACTCCGTGAAAGCGGAAGTCCTTGCAGACAGCCTTGAGGTCCAATTTCAGCCGGTGACGACACGACCCGACGGGGCGATGTGCGCTTACGAGTATGCCCCCCACCCCGCAATTGAACTGAAATTAACCAGTACCTCGAAGGTTCTTCAGGCCATCAAGGGACTGAAGGCTGGCAAGGCTCCGGGCCCGAATGGTATTCCGAACAAGGTTCTGAGACGTCTACCAAGGCGCGTGATAACCTTTCTCACTAAAGTGTTTAACGCAGACCTGAGCGGGCAGTATTTCCCCTCGGCATGGAAACACGCTAGCGTGGTGTCTGTAGCAAATCCGGGGGAGGACTCCATGCTACCCTCTTCCTACAGACCCATCAGTCTTCTTGACACGGTCATCAAACTTTTTGAGTCCTACTAATTAGGGTCCTACAAGAGGTTAAGCGAGCTTGGGCTGCTGCGTGACGAGCAATTTGGGTTTCGACCCAGACATACCACAAAGCTGTAGCTGGCCCGTCTCGTTGAAAGGGTCAACATAAACTTGGACGAGAGGTCTCTGACCAGCGCGGTTTTCCTGGATATGGCCAAAGCCTTCGATACAGTGTGGGTCAAAGGCCTCTTTTATAAGCCAGCCGTTTTCATCTTCCCATCCGACCTGGTGAAAACCATCTCACCCAACCTTGTTGCCGAACATTCCAAACGTCCTTCCAGTCGGCTACATCCACACGTCGTGCCATGCGGGCCGGATTTGATGACGGTGGACTCTTCTCCCTTGTGATCTTCAATCTGTATGTGAACGACACACTTCTCCCCACGGCCACGTCGAGCCAGCGAAGTACGCGGATGACACGGCTCTCGTAGCCACAGACGCATCGAAAATCCGGGAAAAGTGTAGTTTCTGGGAGAGCCAATAGAATGGGTTGAATCGTCGCGATATATCGAGGTGCCCCCTAACACCGAGCTTGCCTGGTCGGCACACGTTTGGTGGTTCGCGCTTTTGCAGGACTCGTCCTTAGGCTCGATGCACACGAGCGAGTTATTTTCGCGAGCTCGCCGCGTCATTTTCTCGCGCGTTTTAGCAGTACATGTGAAGCAATGGAGCAATGCACACTATGGCGGTGACACCGCGAGTTCGCCGCGAGGACGCGGCGAGCAATTTGCGCTCGCCAACCACTGCTGCTTCGCAGCGAGTTCGCCGATCGCCGCGAAGCAGCAGACTGTGTGAAAGCATTGGGCAGTGCACACGTGCTTCGCAACCCTCGCAACTGCTCAGAGTCACAACCAGCATTTCTAGAGGAGGTATTGCAAGCCTCATCGCAGAATCTTTACTTTTGTTGGATGCATCCAGTTTTGCTGCTAGCTCATCAAACGACTTTATACTCATACGACAATAATTATGAAATTTACTTTCATCTTCTCTTAAATCTATAAACATTGTCACGAACGCCCCTTTTAACAGCCGTGAACTAACCAACGGGTGTGTCCAATACTTCCTATTGCGTTTTTTATGGATGTATTCATAAACGAAATAGGCAAAACTACACGTTTTCTTCTGTACACATCCATTTTGGTTGCCATCCAATCTAGTACTGGTGGGAGTTTTCCGGCGAACTCGCAGCGATGACGCTACGTGTGCACTGTCACGGGTTTCCTAGCTGCGAGCTCGCGCGACATTTTCTCGCTCGTGTGCATCGAGCCTTAGTTAGGTTTTTGGTTGCTTTGTTTCCCATGGCTTACTCATCTCCCTGATGATGAAGAAAGGAAACGTCGGTTTATTCTACTGTCCGTGTTTTTCTTGCTGGCCTCTCGTTTGTGGGGGCGCCGTGGGTTTGGGCTTGTTCACATTCCGACATTGCTTCATAAAGGGTAATTTGTGTTGGTTGTGTTACAGTTGTGGACACGTGAGGTTGTTTTGCTGACACTGACGAGTTGTGATACCAACGTACAGAAAAACATTCGGTAATTTTTAAGATGCCTCCTATTCAAATTCTTTGAAATATTTAAGTGCAGTGAAAGTTCCCCCTCTACATTCCCGTAACACGCCGGCGAGAGGCCAGGAGGAATAACACGGCCTATACCGGACTACACGGTACAAGAATTCTTGCTACCATAATAATAGTTTCCCTTTTGATGGATATGAAACTGATTCTCATGTTACTGGTTTCTTAAAAGATGGCAGCACACTACAGAGGCACTACCGTAGCTGCGCGTTCATTATCTGTGGTATGTGTGTTTATCGTTGCGTGTTACATCCGCGTCATGATCACATAACCTGTGTTATGAAACGAGTGTAGTTCGTTGCACATTTCGTATTGTGGTAGAAACTAAACTCTGTGTGTACTCTAAGATTTAAAATTTCTTTCCAATATTATATTTTGAACGTTTGTTTTTTGCGGAAGGTAACCTGTAAGCACGTGAATTATAAATAGTGTCTGTTCGGTTAATATTTTGAAACTCCGGAATTTTTTGCCTTTGGACATAAGTGATTCTGTAATACGCGGTTTCATGTAACCGCTGCAGGTTAGTTAGGCAAACAGAAATTTGGTGAAATAGGTAGAAGTTGAAGACCGGTAGACCATTAACAGTAAGTTATTTACTTAAACTGCACTATTCGTCATAGAAGTTCTTAACGTTCTTCTCAAGACTATAATTTATTTATATTCCATAGATCTTTCGTAGGCCCAAGCCAAGGATAAATACAGTATTTTTAATGCAAATATTACAGCATATCGATGACAGTAATTTGACAAGAAAGCGTACCCACTATTGCTTACACATATTTATATTAGCAGAGAGTTTTTGTCTGATGTTATGTAGTATGAGTGAGATTGGAGATACCCCTTTGGTGCTGGCTTAAACTTATTTATATCGTGATTCAGAACTTTTGTAGTTTGGGGGGGGGGGGGGGGGTGAAGGTTATTGAATAACTCAATTCCAGTAAAGTCAACTCCTTTCTGATATTTACTGAGGTTAGTGTTAGGCATATGAAGGTTATGTCCGAATCTTATTCCTACCACACCAAATGAAATTAAAAGTATAATAACTTCTCTCAAGTCAAAAAATTCATGTGGCTATGATGGAATTTCTTCTAAAGTACTTAAATCTTGTGTGGATTATATAAGTATTCCATTAAGTTATCTCTGTAATCATTCAATGGCTGTAGGAATGTTTCCTGAAAGACTTAAATATTCAAAAGTAAAACCACTATATAAAAAGGGTGAAAAATCCTGCATCTCTAACTACAGACCTATTTCACTGCTGACAACATTTTCTAAAATTTTTGAGAAAGTTATGTGCAAGAGAGTAAATAATTTCTTAAACTCAAACAACATCCTTGTCGAGGAACAATTTGGATTTAGAAAAAATCTCTCAACAGAAAAGGCTCTATTTAGTTTCACAAATGAAATTGTATGTGCCCTTAACAATAAAATGCATGTGGGTGGAATATCTTGTGACCTAGC